AACACCAGTGTAAGAAGCACTAGTCGCGTGTGTGTGCTCCGTGATCCTATCTCCAAAAAGTACCTCCTAGTTTCGTGGCGCAATGGGGTTCGATTCCTGGCAGTGCATAGTATTTTAGTTCTATCGCTTTTTCCTGCACCCGAGTTACTACTATAATCATCGTCCAGGGAGTTCCGGTGCAATGGCCATACGCACAGAGCTTTCTTTCCTTTTCCCCGCGAAATCAGGTGTTCGTTGTGTGCTTTGATGTTGTTCCTGGCTTCATGACAGTCATGTGGGCACCGGTAACCGGTGAGGTGTATGTGGCATAGACAGCCAAAAATTCAACATATGCACCTCCAGACCCGCCGATCCTATCCCCACCACTACATGAGAGAATGAGAAAGTGGTTTTTTAGCGGAGGGCGGAGTAAGAGTACCCAAAGGAGAGTCTGTGTTGCGTGGAGGTTCAGGAAGACTATAGGAGAATTGAATCAACTGAATGTTGAGGCAGATGTGAGTAAATCACCTGTTGAGACGAATGAACGAATCCACGAGATTCCTATCTATAGGATAAAAGGCACTGGTTGCGCGCGGTGCGCCCGCCGTCTCTGTTAGGGCGCAACGCTCTAACTCTAACGGTGGATCGGAGTACGACTCCCCATCAGTGCATCACACATCCGTGGTAAATTTTTGTAGTCTCTCTCAGACAGACGCTTCAATACAGTGGTATCTCGTACCTCGATCGTATTGAAGTCTGTTTATAAGGGAGGGGTCCCGCTTAGAGTAGGATCTTGTTACGTAAGTGTCGGAGTTTAAATTTGACCTCTTTTCGCGCCGTTTTAGCCGCAGGGCTCGTTTTCTGGCAGTTCTTACATAGTACATGGCATTTTGACATCTATTTACGACGATCTGCCAATTATGATTTTTGCGAATTGTCTTTAAATCGCTATGGTGGCTCGTGGCCCAATGCGATGGGACAAATACCCGTCAACTTGCCTCTTCAACATTGTCGTGAAATGATACTCAAAAAATCCAAAAATATTTGGGCAGGCAAAAACATCTCTACCTCAATGGTGAAAACACAGCCAAAGTTCAAAAGGTGGGGCAAGGGCTTGAAAACATGATTACATAATAAGCTTTTACTCTGATCAGACCCCTGCCCTTACAAACGGACTAAAATTTTTGAGGGGACGCCCGGGGAGTGAGATTCTTCGTTTTTTGCATTCCTTTTCAAGATGAAGCGCAAAGCAACTTTAACGTCAGAGTCCGAGTGCCAGGAGTCTGCGCGCGCTCAATTTTAATTTTCGCCCAGTCCTGACTGAACACACACGGAGTAACCTGACGTGAGGAATTATGCGTTGTTCAGGTACCGGTGAGATTGACGCCGTGTAAGGAGGGTCAAATACCAGTGTAAGAAGTACTGGTCGCGTGTGGTACGCTCGCCGACCCTATTCCGAGAGCATACGTCATAGTTTCGCAGCGGATGGGGTTCGATTCCCCGCCAGTGCATGGTAGGTTTGCGTCGTTTTGGTTGGGGCATTTGACATGTGCGCCATGACATGAACAAGGGCATCAGTAATATATTTATGAGTCTCGGCTGGCGCACTGCTGGGCTGAACCAATTCAAGTCAAGTCAAGGTGGAGTTGCGGGACTGGTGCAAGCAGAGCAGAATGAAGATGAAAGTACAGAGGCAAATACGGGATTTTGTACTTATCTATCTTGAAGACGACAAGACAGAACAGAACGGACGGATGAAAGAATTCGAACTGTGGAGATAACAAAACAGTTCAGAACTCACGAGGTCGCAATCCAGAGCCTAGAGTAGGAAAGGCACCGGTTGTGTATGGCACGCTCGCCGACCCTGTATCATGGCAATCAGGAAATGATGGTGGATTGGGGTTCGACTCCCCACCAGTGCATGGCTCGATACAGATACCCATCGTATATTTTTGGGTGGGACGTGCGGGGGCGGGGAGCAAGCCTCAGATTCTTGGTGTTTTTGCCTTCAATTTCAAGAAGAAGCCCAACACAACTTGAACGGCAGAGCCCGAACGCAAAGAGGCTGCGCGCTCAATTTCGATCTTGCGTGCAGTCCTGAACACACACACACACAGAGAGAGCGTCCTTCAAGCCAGAATTGAAGCCGCTCTACCGAGGGTGGAGTGCTAATGCTGTATTGGAAGTACTGGTTGCGTGTGGCACCCCCGCCGCGTCTGTAACTTGTAGATGTCGCCTATAACGGCGGATTGGGGTTCGAATCCCCACCGGTGTATTGCGCGATGCTCGTTTCTTGTTTTTTTGGCGAGGAAGCGCAGGGAGTAAGCGCTAACCTAAGACCCTTCGTTTTTTTGCGTTCCATTTCGGGGAGAAGCGCAACCTCAATGGTAGCGTTCCTGCAGTTTTTTTTTCAGTCCTGAACATACTGACGCAGAAGGGCGACATTGAGGGACGATGCGTTCTTGGAGCTAGCCTAATGTTGGAATACCACACCAAGGTTGGAAGCACTGGTTACATATGGGACGCTCGCCGATTATATCGCGAGAGTGTACGTTATAGTATCGCGGCAGATGGGGTTCGCTTCCCCGCCAGTGCATTGTATGGACTTTGCCTTGTTTTTGGTTGGGGCAATTGACATGTGCGCCATAACACGGATATGAACAAGGGGGTCAGTGATACATTGATGGGTTTCGGCTGACGCGCTGCCGGGCTCAATTCAAGTCAAATTCAAGTTAAGCTGGAGTTGCGGGGACTGGTGCAAGCAGAGCAGAATGAGGATGAAAGTAGAGAGGCAAATACGGGATATCGTATTTAGCTTAGAGACGACAAGACAGAACAGAACGGACGCAAGAGTTCCAACTGTTGATGTGGAGACAAACAAAAACCGTTCGGTGCTCATGAGGTCCCAATCCAGAGCAGGAAAGGCACTGGTTGCGTATGGCACGCTCACCGACTCTGTATCGTCGGACTCGAGAAGTGATGGTGGATCGGGGTTCGACTCCCCACCAGTGCATAGTGCGATCCCCGCTCTTTTTGGGGGACGTGCGGGAAGTTCTTGGTGCTTTTGATTCCATTTCAAGAAGAAGTGCAACGCAACGTTGTGACAGAGCCCGAACGTCAAGATAAAGAGGCTGCGCTCAATTTCGATCATGCGCATAGTCCTGAACACACACACACACACACACGGAGAGCGTCCTTCAAGCCTGAATCGAAGCCGCCCTAATGAGGGTGGAATGCGAATGCTAGTGCAGTATTGGAGGCACTGGTGGCGTGTGGCGCGCCCGCCGCGTCTGTATCGGTAAATGTCGCTCTATAACGGCGGATTGGGGTTCGAATCCCCACCAGTGTATGGTGCGATAGGCGAGAAATATTTTTTTGCGGGGAAGCGCGGGGAGTAAGCGCTAGCTTAAGACCCTTCGTTTTTTTGCCTTCTATTTCGAGGAGAAGCGCAACGTTACAGTAACAGCAGCGTCCGAATGCCAAGAGGCTGCGCGCTTGAATTGAATTTTCCGCGCAGTCTTGAACACACACGAAGAGCGTCCTTCAAGCCCGAATTGAAGCCACCTTAATGAGGGTGGAATGCTAATGCTGTATTGGAAGCACTGGTTGCATATGGCACGCCCGCCGTCTTTGTAGCTAAGATAGATATCATTCTATAACGGCGGATTGGGGTTCGAATCCCCACCAGTGCATAGCGCAATGGCTGCGTTTTTTTTTTTTTCTTTGCGGGGAAGCGCGGAGAGTGAGCGCCAGCTTAAGATTCATTGTTTTTCCGTTCCATTTCCAGACAAGAAGGAACGTTTTGGCAGAGCCCGAATGCCAAGAGGCTGCACGCTTAAATTGAATTTTCCGCGCAGACACGGCGTGCGTCCTTCCAGCCAGAATTGAAACCGCTCTAATGGGGGTGGAGTGCTAGTGCAGTATTGGAAGCACTGGTTCCGTGTTGGACGCCCGCCGCGTCTGTATCTTCATATTGATCCCTCTATAACGGCAGATTGGGGTTCGAATCCCCACCAGTGTATAGCGCAGTGTTCAAGGCTTTTTTTTTCGCGAGGAAGCGCAGGGAGTAAGCGCTTGCTTAAGACCCTTTGTTTTGTTGCTTTCCATTTGGAGGAGAAGCGCGACGTTGCGTTAACAGTATCGCCTGAATTCCAAGAGTATGCGGATTCTTTGATTTCTCTCAGTCTTGAATGGCATCTTTACGCGGAAGAACGACCTTGAGGAACGATGCGTCCTTGGAGCTAGCCTAATGTTGGAATACCGGTGCAAGATTGGAAGCACTGGTTGCGCATGGTGCGCCCGCCGCCTCTGTTAGTTCTTTCGCACCTCCCACTGTAATGGCGGATCGGGGTTCGAATCCCCACCAGTGCATGTTGCGTCTGGTTTATAGTTCGATTTTGATTTGATTTCTCCTTTACCGGAGCGCGGCCGCTGTTCCATTCAAGAGACATATAAGGTGCAGCTAAATTGAAGCTGAACAACGCACACGATCAGTTGGCATCTCCATATCCGCGGCGGCTATCTCCGCGACGGCGTACCTGTGCGTCATCCGCTGGTCACACGAACACCGCGCGCTCCGAATTCACCCGAAGTCTGGGCCGGTCGCGGCGTCGGCACTTCCATCTTGGTTCGTCGCTTCGCTCTTTCATCTCCTCGCTCGTCCTCTCCTCCTCTTTTCCTCACCCTCAGGGCTCAATTCCTGCGTTGGCCAAGCTGCTTCCCCGCTTCCCCGCACTACCCCACACTTCCCCGCATCAGCTGACGCGGGGCATCAAATAATGTTCCATAATGAGCAAGAACCGATCACAGCCGTAAGCGTAAGCGAATTCAATTGGTTGCTCGGCAGCCGAGTCTGGCCGAGGTATATAAACCCGGCGTAGTTCCCGCGCCTGCTTACTCCCACCACCCCACCACAGCTTCGTCTTATCGATCCCTCTCTTCGCCCTCGATTCAGCGGGCCTCGCAGCACTCCTCGTCTTCTCGTATATCCACATCTGAAGCAGCGCCATGGCCGACGTCGAGACGACCCCTGCGCCCGCGACGATCGAGATCAATGACGCGATGTTCTGCAAGCATTTCAAGGAGGTCGTGAGTGTCGCTCTCTTCTCCTTCCTCTCCAATCCACGCTCCATCACGGCCACACTGTCTATCTATGCCCTCTGTAGGAGTCAGGGGTGCCGTTGACTGGAGTCGTGGCTATGCTTATCTCCGATCCACGTCACGCCTTCCATCCCCATATCTTGGCATGCCCCCTTCCCTGACGCCGGCTTCGTTGCACTCCCCCGCTCATGTCCCCCCCGCTCCCCGCTTCGATGCACGCTAACACGCACGCCCGTCTAGTGCACCGACTGCGACTTCGACGGCCGCGAAGAGAACGACGCGTTCTTCGGGTTCGACCCGATAGACCGCGATGGCATGGAGGCGCCCCCAGCGACCGTCACCAAGGAGGGAATTTACCAGTGCAAGAAGCATGGCTCGACGAGTGAGTCGCTGTCCTCATTTATATGATTCGTTGCTTTCCCTCCCTTGCGCGGTGTTTTGTGGTGCGGCGTCGTCGCTCGCCGATGCGCCCTTGCCCACTCACCGAGCCCTCCGCCCCTCTACATTCATTGACCCTCCACACCACCCCTTTTTCTTATCTTCTTTTCATTGTGCTGCTTTCTCCTTGCCGCCGCCCCTACATGCACCCTGTGTCCTCCCCGCTCTTCGGGCTGACACGCCCGCCGCCTCCCTGCCCCATTGCTCGCCCTCCCCCCTCTTTAATCCCTCCCCTCCCTTCTCTCGCTTTCCCCTCTCGTATCTCCCCGCTGCCAGAACGCACGCTAACACGCCGCACCCCGCAGCCTGCAACCAGTGCTACGGCTGGAAGAAGCAGATCACGCGTGCCCGCGCCGCCGCGAAGAAGGCCGGGAAGAAGTAGCGGGCTGTAACCTACTCGGCCATGTATGTAACTAACCTACTCACTACAAGTAAGTAGAGGAATGAAGGAATGTATAACAAATGAATGGAACATAAATTGATAAAGAAAGGAAAGAGAGATTTGACGTGGGTGGTGATTGTGCTTGTTGGAACAAGTAAAGGAGGATGGTGAGCGCGAGGGGATGTTTGAAATGTTCGTGTTCTGCGCGTGCGGTATGTGAATAGTATCAGACCTAGTGCGGAGTCGTCCGCGCCCACGCCCCGTACACTCTCATCACCTGCGCTGTGGGAATCCTCCTCGTTCGATTCGAGGCTAGGTCGTGTGACTTCTTGGAATTTCTTTGAAGTTTTTCTTGCTAAAATGAACAATCGATTACTACAAGTTCCTTAATCCGGTCCGATTCTGGGCCTTCAGAGCTTCAGAGGGTGGGGGTGGGTGTGTACATGCGCGTTTGGATGGTGGAATTTTATAGGGACTTGAAGGGGATTGGAGTTGTGTATGTACATATTTAAGTTCAGACTCTGAGTCGAATCTGCAGTGAGGTGGGCAGTGCAAGCTGTATGGTATGAGAACTTGAAGGAAGAGAAGGAGAAGGAGACCTAGTGCGGAACGGCCGCGCCCACACTCCATAATGCCGTGGAAATAGATGCATCGAAATTTCGCGTGGGAGTCCTTGTTCGAATCAAGGCTAGGTCATTAGAACAAGACGTGCTTTTTTTTTGGATTTGAACGCTGAGCTGTTTGTTGTGTTTCAGTCAGGTCGAACATTGTAACCAACCCACTTCAAGTTGTAACGTCATTTCCATCAACATTGATAAAGACAGAGATTTGACGCGAATTGTGATTGTGCGTGTTTGATGGAACGAGTAATAAAGGAGGGTGGTGAGTGCGAGGCGAGGGGGTGTGTGAAATGTTCCTGATTTGAGGCGCCTGCAGTATGCGAATAGTATGAGACCTAGTGCGGAGTGGTCCGCGCCCACGCCCCGTTAACTCTAATCACCTGCGCTGTGGGAATCCTCCTAGTTCGACTCGAGGCTAGGTCGTGTTTGATGTATGGTGCTTCCCTTAATTTTTTCTTGGTGCGATGAACAATCGATTACGACGACTTGCTTCGATCCGATTCTGGGCCTTCAGAGCTTCAGGGAGTGGGGGTGGGTGTATAAGTACATCCGCGTTTGAATGTTGAGATTTTATGGTGACTGAAGTTGTTCATGTACATAACTTATTTAAGTATTAAGTTCACACTCGAATCTGCGGTGAGATTAGCAGCGCGAGTTGTATGATAACTTGAAGGAAGGAAGGAGAAGGAGACCTGGTGCGGAACGGCCGCGCCCACACTTCATGGATAGGAGCAAGGGTGGAAATTTCCCGTGGGAGTCCTTGTTCGAATCAAGGCTAGGTCATTAGATTAATCAGAGGCGGTTTTTTTCAATTTTGAACGCTGAGCCGTGTATTGTGTTTCATGTCGAACTTCGTAACCAACCCACTTCAAGTTGTAGCGTCATTCCACCAAGATTGATAAAGACAGAGAGATTTGACGGGGATTGTGATTGTACTTGTTGGAATTAAAAGGAGGGTGGTGAGTGCGAGGCGAGAGGATGTTTGAAATGTTCTTGATCTGAGGCGTGTGCAGTATGTGAATAGTATGAGACCTAGTGCGGAGTGGTCCGCGCCCACGCCCCGTAATCGGTTCATCACCTACGCTGTGGGAATCCTCCTCGTTCGACTCGAGGCTAGGTTGTGTTTGATATATGGTGCTTCTCTTAATTTTTTCTTGGTGCGATGAACAGTCGATTACGATGACTTGCGTCGATCCGATTCTGCAGCTGGGCCTTCAGAGTTTCAGAGGGTGGGGGTGGGTGTGTACATTCGCGTTTTGAATGTTGAAATTGTATGGGGACTTGAAGGAAGTGGATTGACACTGACGTTGTTTCGGTATGTACATAACTTGAGTTTTAAGTTCACACTCGAATCTGCGGGGAAATTAGCAGCGCGAGTTGTATGAGAACTTGAAGGAAGGAAGGAGAAGGAGACCTGGTGCGGAACGGCCGCGCCCACACGTCATGGGGGGAAGCAAGTATATAAATTTCCAGTGGGAGTCCTTGTTCGAATCAAGGTTAGGTCATTTGAGCAATAGGAGGTGGTTTTTTTCAATTTTGAACGCTGAGCTCTTTGTTGTGTTTCAGGTCGAACTTAGTAAGTTAATCCACTTCAAGTTTTAACGCGATTTGTACCGGGAATGCCGTTACCCCCCGGCACCACCGTTATATCAATTCCACCGAAACAGGACGCGCAAGACATTTGAACCGTGATATTTCATTCAGTCGTTCAGTGGAAGATTGAACCAGCACTTTGAATTCGGAGACAACGTGACTAGACATCCGCGACAAGTTACAATTCCGGCGTGCCCGTGTGTCGTCCCCATTTCCTATCTATTCGTGGGGCGTGGTAAGAGGAGAGTCTGAGGCGGGTGGTGAGGGTCCGTCAGCTACGAAATGGACCGTGGTCAACTTCATTCATCTGGGAGCTTTGAGCAAGGAATAGTGAGGGATTCAACCGGAATGACACTCACTTAGGAGCGTGGATCCCCTGTAGAATAAGCATTCGTGGTGTATGGAACCCCCCGCCGAGTCCGTGCCCGATGGCACAGGAAGTGATGGCGGAATGGGGTTCGACTCCCCGCTAGTGTATGGGTAGCCCGGCACTACACACACTTTGCTAGAATTATGGCTAGGTCTGTGTAGTCCGGTCCTGTCTAGCCTCCTACACTTA